TTCAAGTGCAAAGCCTAAGAGAAGGTATAAATACCCCTCACTCTCCACTCCATGTGGTCAGCTGCCAGAAGCACCCATGTGCTTCTGCTTCATCAATAAATGGACCTCTTTTCAATCAGTCTCTAGCCTCCATTTTGTCTCCTCTCTTGGAACTGAACCAGATGGATATTTCTCCCAACAATTGTAAATAAATTAGTATGTAACAATCTAATTTTTTTTAGTTCATAAGCCACGACCTCTTCAGTTGTCACCATTTGGATTGGAAGAACCTTGAGTAGCAGGAGGAATAGATACAAACAAGACATCGGTTAGATAAGGGAAATCTGAGTCCAAAGTAGAAACAAGTAATTTGTGGAAACTTCTCAGACTTGACGTTCCCCAGGTTCATGTAAATAAAGGCCTGGATGGGGAAAGCACTTTCAGATTTGCAAGATCCTGTTACTCTGACCTTATAGTAAAAATACCATTAGGATTCATAACTTTGTTTTCCTACTCTGGTCTACTTCAAAGGGCTAACACCTTTAGGAATTTCATGCCATACAATATCAGAGGGAAACTTCTACTATTTTCTTTCTCTTTTGGGACAATGAAATATGTGGTGGTCCAGGCAGTGCAAGAAAGTGCTCAAGTGAGTCCACAATTCATGTAGACTTCAGGTACAATAGCAGCTGCTTGTTCTGCTTCCACCACACTTTTCTGAATTCTTCACTTTTCTGCAGGAACGAACATGGTCATATCCACATTAGGAGGAGATCTGGATGCTTGCAGTAGCTGTAAAGCCTCCTGGGAAGATTAGTTGTCTCACCATCACTCGCCCGCTTGCACGGGGGCTGGGAGCCTGGCGGTGAATATTGTTTCTGCGTGTCTGACAGCAGCTCGTTCCTGGTTTGAGAGAAAAGTTTCCTTTTTCTGAAAGTTGCACTAAGAGAGGGGTTTCTCCCCCACCCCTCACTCAAATGGCTGCTGTACTATGCCAGCTGTAGTGGCTTTCAAGGCGTAGCTGAAGAGGAGGAATAAGCAGGATGGTAGCAGGGCTTGGCTGAAGGAAGGAAGGTGGGCTTCAAGAGGCCTAATTGGTCCCCACTGCTACCTCCCTCCTGTTCTCTTCACGTGAGTCAGAGGAGCAGCCAGTAACTATTCCTTGGCCCCTTTCATTGCATCCTTTGCCATGCTTTCTCTTATACACATTATACAGTATTTTTTTCTTTCATCCTCATTTTGTGCAGCAATCATTTTCTTAAAGGACATTTCCCCCCCCCTCATCTGCATCTTCTTTCACTTCATTGTTCTTCCAAGCATCCTTTTTTCATATTTCCCATTAGCATAACTCCACGTTCTTTGGTAACACAATTCTTTTCATTTTGCTCCGAGCTGCTTTTGCATTTTCTTTCCTCATGGCCATTTCCATTCGTTCGGTCGGAAGATTAATCTGTCTCCTAATACTTTTTTTTTTTAAATACAGGCTGGTATTTTCCATCCCGGCTGTCATTTTACTTTCTGTCTCCTTTCTTTCAGTCCCTCCCAGTCAACACCTCTCACCAGCCTTGTAGGCTCATTAATTCTCTTGATCTTTCATCAGAAACAAACAAATCAATCCTGCTTTTAGATTAATTCCTTTGCCCATGTGTATGTGTGTGGAGAGGCTAATGCTTAAGGTGCTTATCTGAAATAAAAAGAACCATTAAGCAGATACACACCAAACTATAAACATGACTCTTCATTGCAGAATCCTATCGGGGGGTCGGTCAATGGGACCAGAGATCTAGTCTTCCAAACTTTTAGACTCGTGCTCCAGTCCATCCTCAGGGAACTTCCCTCTCACCAGAATGTATGTGTGATGACCTGGGGCGTGGCAAAAAAGCAACAAAGTCACAAAAGTAGGTAAAGTCTCTTTAATACTTCCAACTTGGCCCTCAGTATCCAGTTATCATCGGCTGGAGAAAAAAACTCTCCCAAGAACAGTTTTTAAAGGGAAGAAATTCAGTCCGAAACCAAAGTACATATAAGTTATAAATAAAAACCAACACAAACCACGCTGCAGCAATTAACGAGACAGGGAAGGATAAGGAATTGCAGACTTCAAAAGATAATGAAACACACACAGTTGGGAGGATGCCAGAACCCAGATAGGACTTGACAAACAAAGATAATGCACGCTTTGCTTCCAGCAAGGTTCTGTACACAAACACCCTTTTTAAATCCTGTTTTCACAGCTGCATCTAATGAAGGGAATCAGGGCCCTTTTCTCCCCCATAACCCACGTAACTCACGTTGCTCCCTTCTCTGTTCCTCCCTGCATGCCCTAGGATGAGGAGGGGGTGGGCCTGGATCTTCCTCTGAATGCCCAGCTGGCCTGAGCCCTTCCCCAGTTTCCTCCACAGCCACGGCACACACTCCCACTCCCTGTCAGCTGCTCGAACTCCCTCTCGGAATCAGATTCCAACAGGGGCATCACAGTATGGTTCACAGTATGGTTCAACAAGTATGGTTCAAAGTATGTTTCAAATAAAACAAGTATGGTTCAAAGTTAACAAGCTTTTTATAGTCCCTCACCTCCCGTGCAAAAAATTCTGCTAAAGGTAAGGACAATGCAGGCAGTCCTTAGGTTACAATGGCAGTTGGAATCGGGATGGCCGTCTCTGAGTGAATTGATCCTGAAGTGTGATGTCATTGCTTAGTGACAGCAAACTTGGGGAGTCTCAGTTGCTGTGGAAGCCCCAAGATGCGTAGGTGGTGAAGTGGGAAGCAGTGGGAGTCCCAGGTAAGGAGTGGGAGAGGCTGGTGTGGCACGGACATGGGTGGGAAGACGTCTGACTCACAAGGAGCACATGTTGCAGTGTGTTCATCCTGTGCGTTGGAACCAATGTTAAGAGAAAGATTCGGATATGCAACTACCAATGAATGGCGGAAGATGAGTTTTAAGTGAGTGAGGCAGGCTGAAGGGAAAGGGCTTGGGGGTGAATGGGGAGAGGGTTAAAATGAGAGAAGAGGCCTCTGTTGATGCAAGAGAGAACTGGGTGAGGGGGTCTGTGGACAGATTTAAACCAGCGGCCCCCATGTCATGCCCATTAGAATCTGACTCAGAAGGGGAGGAGGAACAGGAATGGGAGTGGAGGAGTGTGGCTCCGGAGGTTGTGGAGGAAACTGGGGAAGGGCACAGACGAGCTGGGCATTCAGAGGAAGACCCAGGCCCATCCCCTCTTCATCCTAGGGCACGCAGGGAGGAGCGGATAAGGGAGAAACGTGAATGGTGTGGTCTACAGGGGAGGAAAGGGTCCTGATCCCCTTCATGGGCTGCAGCTGTGAGGACTGTTTAAAAGGACAAACTGTGCATGGGCCAGTGCTGGAAGCAAAGCGTGAAAATATCTCTAGGCTTTCAGTTCTTATCTGAGTTCTGGCATCCTTCCCTGTGTGGGTATTTCGATATCTGTGGACGTCTTCAAGCCCTTATCCTGCCTTGTCTCCTTTATCGCTTCAGTGTGGTTTCTGTTGTTTTTTTTCTATTTATAATTTCTATGTATTTTGAGTTTGAACGGAAGTTCTTCCTTTTTCGCAACTGTTTGTGGGGGAGTTTTTTCTCCAGGCAATGATAATTGGACCTTTGAAGCTAAGTTGAAGGAATTAAAGGGACTTCATTGGTTTTTGTGACTTTGTTGCTTTTGTATCCCACCCTGGGTCATCACACCCCAAATGTTAGGGCACAGGGACCGGTTCTGTGGACAGAGGTTTTTCCATGGACCAGAGGAGGCCAGCTTCCTGCGGATGGGGCTTCGCTTGTTTGTGTGGCCAGGTTTGTGGCATGCCACAGCCCTGTGTCCATCCATGGACTGGGGGTTGGGGACCCCTGATTTAGACAACAGAAAACAGTTAATAGTGAATTCACAAAGATAGGACCTGGAGACAGAAACAATTAAGTATTCCTTTCTGTCTAGAATTCAGTACAAGCAGCCCTCAGCTTGTGACCACTGCTCCATTTCAAAATCTTTCCTGCTGCAGTTGTGAAGTGAATCACTGCAGCTGTTTAGTTAGTAACGCAGTTGTGAAGCGAATCGGGCTTCCCCACCGACTTTGCTCGTCAGACGTTTGCAAAAGGGGAATCATGTGATCCCGGAGTGCTGCAAACCGTCATAAATATGAGTCGGTTGCCAAGCGTCTGGATTTTGATCACCTGACCGTGGGGATGGCTTGCAATGGTTGCAAGTGTGAAAACGGTCATAAAGTTACTTTTTCCAGCGCTGTTGTAACTTCGGTCACTCGACAAACTGTTGTTAAGTCGAGGGCTGCCTGTAGCAGAAAGTATGATGGCGGCGAGGAATTACAGAACAGAATAACAGAATTGGAAGGGACCTTGAAGGTCTTTTAGTCCAACCACCTGCTCAAGCAGGAAGGAGGGCTTATAAAGCACTGTAAAGCGGTATACAAGTCTATGTGCTATTGCTATCTGTGCCCCCAGGATCACCTGAATCAGAGGTATGGAATATCCTTGGAACAGCCAAAAACAGTGGTGGTGTAAGATAGTTGGTGTCAAAAGCTGGACTAAGAATGAAGACAATACAATTGTCTTCAACAAGGCAACTCTGATGTGACCCATCTCTTTCCTTTCCAATGAGGACGAAAGAAAAAGAAAGAAAAAAAGAAAGAAAGAAAGAAAGAAAGAAAGGAAGGAAGGAAGGAAGGAAGGAAGGAAGGAAAAGAAAGAAAGAAAGAAAGAAAGGAAGGAAGGAAGGAAGGAAGGAA